ATGAGCTTCAGGGGCCGGTTGTAGAACCCCACGTCATACATAATTTTAAATATAGATATGATAGGGCAGGAGTCATTGCATTAGACAACCGATGGCTAGAAGGGGCAGGGTCCAAGAGCTAAATCTCGATCATGCAAGCACAAATAGGTGAGTGCAAGTAGGTGAACACCCACTAGTTGACCGACGGTTGAGAGGTGGGACCAAAGAGCCGAAGCTCAGCCCCCGCAAGAACAAATAGGTCAGAAGGACTAGGAGACTACTCTCACGCACGCACGCACGCACGTGCACACAGCGTGGAACTCCCACTTAAATAAGCATAAAACCAAACTAGGACCACCCAGAGGTCGTACCAGATCTGTGAGGACTAAAATGTGAGGAATGATTTACAGATCTGAACCTCACGACACTTGGATAGAGAGAGACGGAATCAGCGGGACATGATTACGACATACAAGATTCTCGTCGAAGTCGATAAGGTTGGTAAAGAGGACACGCCCAGAATAAAGCAGAATAGAAGAGGGGAACAGGATGGAATCTTGAAGCCCACACGAGTCGCAGGGAAGATAAGAAATATCATTTTTAGCATTCGAGTCGAGAGCTTACGAAATGGAGAGGAATGATAACTATCAGTAGAAAGGGCAAAGTATGATTACGAAGCACGTGGATGGAATATGAGGACACGAAGCTGGAATATAAGGACAAGAAGCTGGGATATGAGGACAAGGAGCTGGGATACGAGGACAAACCAGAGAATGCTACTAGAAGCTCCCGAGACCCTAAGAATACTGAGAAGTTCCTGTGGGCGCATCTTAACTAGTGTTAATCATGACAATAGCGTCACGTGACATCCTGGAACCCACTCGACAAAATAAGACTTGAAAAACAAATACAAAAAATAGATTCAGGAAATGAAATTATACGATTGGATGATAATTATCAGGTAGGAGAGGGAAGGATAGATGAACTGCGTATTCTTAGACTACCAAAAAGTCTTTGACACAGTCGTTGACAGGAGACTAATGAGCTAACTGGACAATTAGGCTAAGCTGACCACCACACATCTTGGGATAGACGTGTCTATGAGAGAGGAGAGTCACAGTGAGGGATATGACGAGATACCTGCTGGATACCTGCTGGTACCTGGGTAAAGAATCACCAGCCTCCTGGTACCTGGGTAAGAAGTTACCAACCTCTTGGTACCTGGGTAAGGAGTCACCAGCCTCCTGGTACCTGGGTAAGGAGTTACCAGACACCAGGATAAGGAATCATTAACTCCCTGGAGCCTGGATAAAGAATCACCAAGAATCCCATACTTGAAATAAGCTTATACGAGTCAGAAGGACGAACAATGAGAGGAGAGAAGAGGAGCAAGTAGTAACGTAGAGAAGCGGGAAAGAGAAGATCAAACAATTTGAAAAAGGGGGATTAGGTGGATGATAAGTATGACAGAAGAGGATAATTAAGACAAGGAAGAGAACAAAGAAGAATAGGAAGGCAAGGAGAAGGAAGCCAACATCCTGCCAGAATCAAAACAAAATCCAGAGGTAATATTGGTGAACAAATAGACAGGGGTTAAGTAGCACTCACCGACGCCCTCGAGCGAGTCCTTAAGTGAGTGCGTCTAGTCAACAAACACGGCTCGAAGGACCAAGAACCGACGCTCACAATACTTCGCGGCGTCAGCACTGTCTTCGCCCGAGACTGGACTGATGTCTCTTGTTTTCTTGGTAAGAATTGAAGAGGACTTCCCTGTTGTTAATATTAAGGTATTGTTGGTCGAGGTGAAGTGGATGGTTAAGTTTGTAACGGGGTACACGCTTAAGTGATGTTCGCAACGTGATTTGGTTACCTTTGCTGTTACCTTTCGACAAGTCCGAGGATCAACGTTCCATGGCCCAGTCTCTAGCCAGGCCTCCTGGTCTGGTCAACCAGGCTGTTAGACGCGGCCGCTCACAACCTAACATATGAATCACAGCCTGGTTGATCAAGAATCCTTTGAAAGTTTCTATCAACGTGATTTCTGAACAATGCAAGAAATCCGTCAGTTATGCCCCTTAATTATGTGTAGAGAAGCTTGAAGAGTGTTGCCCGTTGATATCGAGAGAGTTCTCTCTCAGCGTACCTATTGCACATTTACAATTCAACGGGGATATTTTGCACATGCAACCACGCCTCCAGGCTTCATGTAGTTATTTCTGTGTGTAGACGTGGAACCAGTCATCCTACTATTTTCCAAGTACAAATTATTATGCATCTCCCGCACCTGTGCTCTAGGGAATACAAATTTAACATTTTAAGCGGTCCCGATAATTTAGAGGTTGTGTAGAGTGGATTAGGGCAGTAAAACACCACTTTACGTTCTCCAGATCACCAATTTCTCCAGCGACGTTCCCAATGTGGTATGGTACAGCCTTTTTTTTATAGTTTACAATTTTTATTTCTGTACAGAGCAATGCCAGTATTGTGTGGGATTTGTTGCACGTCAATTTTTCATTTGTGATACTTGATGTACGATGATTTCTCAGTCATGATGTTCGATGCGCAATAATTTCTGTTATGATATTCTACGCACGATAATTTCTCATTCATGATGTTCGATGCGCGATAATTTCTCAATTGTGATATTCTATGCACGATAATTTCTCATTCATGATGTTCGATGCGCGATAATTTCTCAATTGTGATATTCTACGTACGATAATTTCTCATTCATGATGTTCGATGAACGATAATTTTTCATTCACGATGTTCGATGCGCGATAATTTCTCATTCATGATGTTCGGTGCGCGATAATTTCTCAATTGTGATATTCTACGCACGATAATTTCTCGTTTATGATGTTCGATGCGCGATAATTTCACATTCGTGAATGATTCCCAATTCAGTTTCGTGGCAGAGGGGCGGAGAGCGTTCTTGCAGGCGCCTGGGGGAGTAATGGTCACTACCCTTATCTTGAGGTGCTTCCGGGACTTAGCGTCCCGGCGGCCCGGTCCTCGACCAGGCCTCTTACTGCCATCCCAAACACCTTGTTTACATCCATCAGCTGGTCGAGTTGCCACGTCGGCTTATTTTCAAGAAAAATTACTACGGAATCTCATGATAAGTGATTCAGTCTTCCAAAAATAATAAACTAATAAATGAATATATATTTATATATAATATTTAAGACTTGGCGAGTAGTTAATTGTAACATTTCCGAACTTATCTCCCACGAACACTATCTAAATTCCTTATAATAATAGAGTATAATTCCTTCAAGAGATTCAAAGCATCATTATCGTACACTGCGCACAATGCTAGCTTGCACACTCTCATTAAAAAGTTAATCGGCGGTTTAAATTATCGATATTTATTCACTGTGTTCAAGTGTATTCAACTTGAACAGTGGATACAACGGACAAAACTTGCTTGTCGATTGGAGATGAGGTATATATAGAGACGGGGTTCATATAGGCCCCTCACTGCTCAGCTTTCACCGACGGGAGACATCTCCCGTCACGCAGGGTGCAGTCGCGCCTCCACAGATCTCCAGTATCAGCTCTTGATACTGGTAATGGCTTAAAAGGGCCACCACTTACGGGCTATTCATGCCCGTGCCACATTTAGGGTGGCTTAATCTTCATCACATGGACGCCTATGGCAGCGGTGCCCGTCACAACATGTGCAAAACCTGTTGCTGCTAAACACCTGCGTCATAAGGCGTGACAGGAAGGTCCGTCAACACGACCCGTCCACTCCCAGCAAGCTGTCATCGGACACTGGTCGGAAACTGACCAGTCGGACAGTTTATATAATTACTCAGCCTCCCGTGTCCAGCGCCTGGACAAAAAGGATGCCTGGAGGACCGGGCCGCAGGGACGATAAGTCCCGAAATCATCAGCAAGGTTATCTTGAGATGATTTCAGCGCTTAGCGTCCTCGCGGCCCGGTCCTCGACCAGGCCTCCTTTTTGTTACACACCCTCAGGAAGCAGCCCGTAACAGCTGTCTAACTCCCAGGTACCTATTTACAGCTAGGTGAACAGGGAGGCATCAGGGTGCAAAAAAAACTGCCCATTTGTTTCCACCTCCACCGGGGATCGAACCCGGAACCTCAGGACTACAAATCCCGAGCTCTGTCCACTCAGCCGTCAGGCCCCAGGCTTGGGGAAAGTGTGGGAACCACCACACCTGACCAATATCTCCCCAGACTAACTCACACCGTCATACCTTGAGTACCGCAGAGGGTAACTAACTTGAGTACCTAACTACTCATGACAGTAACTACCGCAGAGGGTAACTAACTTGAGTACCTAACTACTCATGACAGTAACTACCGCAGAGGGTAACTAACTTGAGTACCTAACTACTCATGACAGTAACTACCGCAGAGGGTAACTAACTTGAGTACCTAACTACTCATGACAGTAACTACCGCAGAGGGAGAAACAGTAGCCTCAACTACTAACAGCAACCAGCCACAGAACAGTAGTATCAGTACTAACAACTGGAGTATAAGGTATATTGAAGAGTATATCAACTTTTACCTCGCTGGTGTCTGTAGATAGGTCCGAATAATATATATATATATATATATATATATATATATATATATATATATATATATATATATATATATATATACTGTTACTGGTTTTGGGTATATGTGGTAAGCCCAGTAATTTAATACGTCAGAAATACGACTGTGTATCAAGAGAGAAGCCACAACGGTCACCAGCCAATCACACACGCCCTTCGTTACAAAAAAAAAATAATTGCAAACATATATATACATATATACTTACAGCGTTTATAATAGACACAACCTAAGAGTCCATTTTGCAAGCACTGCAATTACCATGTCATAATCACCAGTGAACTAATTCATATACCAACAAAATACTAAATTGCAACGTGTAAACTTCCTAAGCGAAGAGTAATGCTGATAATTATAATAAATAGCAATCAAAGAGGTAATGATAGAGTTAAGAGGAAGGTAGAACAAGAGGCAGCAACACTTACTCTCTACGAAGGCGAGGGTAGGCGTGGTGTGGGCCAGCAGGTGGAGGATGACCAGTAGCACCCCCAGCCCACTCCGCCCACTCGTGGTGTGGGCGCGGCCCCGCCCACGATCCTTATCTGGCAGTGGCGGAGTGGGCTGAGTGGCAGGCTTGGTGGCACTGTGGCCCACCAGACGCAGGCAGGCGCTGAACATAGTGTGAAGGGGACGAGTGAGAGAGGGAGCACTTGTAAGGTATTCGAGTGAGGATACGATAGATAACGGGCCGGATAACCAAGCCGTCAGGGGAGTAGATAGCGGGCTCAGACGACGTGTAGGGTTGACAGTATTGCATGTATGTTGCAAGCAGACGAGGAGCCTCGCCCCGTCTGTCTGTATTGACGGGTATACCGTCGTATCTGTGACGTTCCCGAGGCCGCGTCTGTCTGCAAGATGACGACTTGACCGTCCAGGGCGCGGGGGAGTAGACAGGTCACGGGCTGACGCCTGACAGCTACCAGACCCACACCGCTCGGGTGATGAGTGACGGGAACTCGTCCAGGCCGTCTGGGGGACACAGCTGGTTGTCACGTCCCCCGTCTGGTCGACTCTGACACTCCTGGTAGCGGCGGACTCCCTCCCGGGTAACGGGATCCTGGTAGGATCTCCCATACCACCGGTCACCACACTAGACGCGCCGCTGGTCCTGGCTGCGGTGTGAGGTGCGACCAGCCGCATGCGGCCAGAGAGTGGCCCTGGAGAGAACTGTGCGGCGGGTGCGGAGACATGGGGCGCCATGCTCGTCGGTGACGTCACGGCGTCCGCAGTCTGTAAGGCGATAAACACCTGTTAACATTTTTATTAACATCTTTATTGACAAGAATTAATTACAATTTTGCCCTAATCTGAGGAATTCAATTAAGGTCTTATTAGAGTGAGGATAATGCTGGTATTCACTGTCACAGGATCTAAAGGATACCTGATCAACCAGGCTGTGACTCATATGTCAGGCTGCGAGCAGCCTCGTCCAACAGCCTGGCTGACCAGTCCAGCAACGAGGAGGCCTGGTCGACGACCGATCCGCGGGGTCACTGAGCCCCGAAATCACCTCAAGGTCAGGACAGAGGGTCATACACAAGACAATAGGTCTAAACTGTAGGCTGAAGCACATATATATACCATGGTTACAATTAAATACAATAGACTATATATATGTTTCAGTGTACGAATTTGTAAATTCAAATTTCTATTGTACACTGCCACACAAGGGCAGGGATGGTTCAAAGAAATGCAGCTTAAAAATAAAATAAAATTGTTTTGCATTCTTTAAAATGGACAAACACATTTTGGATAAATTGTTAGGAATGTCGTCCAGAACACCTGAGTCAATGAAATAGTTACACAGTTGGTGGTACAAGAGACCAGGAGGTCTAAAGTCCTCTACGGTTTCACATTCAACAATATAGTGCTCTAGTGAATGCATTAAAGGTTTATCACAGAGTTTACAATCTGAATATTCTGGTAGTGGCTCAGCCTCACTAACCTGCCAGATGTGTCTATAGCCAAGGCGAATTACAACAATGACTACATCACATTGCCTGGTCCGGTTACTGTGCTGACCATACAAATACCTATTATTACAAAACTTGTCATAACTTTTAATACTGCAGCTTTCAGGTCTCTGGGCATTTCTTAGTTCTTCTAAATCTGAAGTAATTTCTTTAATTAGTATGTTTTTAATAATTGCACTAGATAGTCCAAAGTCATAATCAGTGGGTTCTTTCCTGTAAGCCTCAAAGTCATGTTTTCCAACTCCAACACGGGATGGGATCCACACAAATTTTATATAAAGGCAAAAATTGCATTACACTTAATATTACAAGCTACTTCAGATAAATTGTGATGGGTTATTTAAGGACTGCAGAGCACTTTTAGCCTAACACAATATAATAATAACAATAATAATAATAATAATAATAATAATAATAATAATAATAATAATAATAATAATAATTCTTATTCAGGTAAAAGTACATGCATACAAAATCAGTTACAAACAGAATATTGGATTTATTAATAGAGCTAATATATACTAAGCCTAAAGCCACTAATACGATCAGCATTTCGGGCAAATCACTCCACCCCATTTTAAGGTACTTAGTGGCTAGTTAAATACCCAACAGTTCAGTCTGTGTCATGCTTGCCCAATCGTTCATCTCTGTGTACTATACTTGCTAAGAGAGGAGTATGAACCACGGAGAGTAATGGACCAACCAGGCTGTAGTGGTTACGTGAGCCTGCGGGCCGCTCCAGGCAACAGGGAAAGGTTGAGGAGAAGAACTCTTCAAACCCAGAAAGTTCCTTTCCCAAATTCACAACTTTTTCAAAATTATTTGTCTAGACTAAGAGACGGGCGGGTTGCCTGCTCTGTGAGTCTTCAAGTTTTTGGTATATTGTAAAAACTTGGGGACCAAAGTGACCTCCTGAACCCTTCAGTCACTGTTAAAATTTGTTAAAATTTTGCCCCGAGGGGCGAGTTTATTGGGCAGCGTCACTCATCCTGTGAGTGAACAGCCATAGTGACAGTATTGGGCAGCGTCACTCATCCTGTGAGTGGACACACCGCCATAGTGACAGTATTGGGCAGCGTCACTCATCCTGTGAGTGAACAGCCATAGTGACAGTATTGGGCAGCGCCACTCATCCTGTGAGTGGACACACCGCCATAGTGACGGTATTGGGCAGCGCCACTCATCCTGTGAGTGGACACACCGCCATAGTGACAGTATTGGGCAGCGCCACTCATCCTGTGAGTGAACAGCCATAGTGACAGTATTGGGCAGCGCCACTCATCCTGTGAGTGGACACACCGCCATAGTGACAGTATTGGGCAGCGCCACTCATCCTGTGAGTGGACACACCACCATAGTGACAGTATTGGGCAGCGCCACTCATCCTGTGAGTGGACACACCGCCATAGTGACAGTATTAGGCAGCGCCACTCATCCTGTAAGTGGA